CCAGGATTATCCGTGTATAATGGCGACCCAGAACCCCTCATCTATCTTGGTCGGCACCATGAATATTAATTAACGGAGGTAATCTGAGGTCAAATGGAGCCGCAAACGAATCAAAATCGGACTGAAAACAGCCCCGATTTCTCCGCAGCGGAATCAGGCGCCAACGTGAGAACACGCCCCCGTCTCCATCTCAAATAACCACCAATCAGGGCCGGGGCGGGCCGCTGGCGCGCGCCGTCGCGATGACAACAAACCCTAATTACCCGTCGGGTTTCTTTTGTCGTGGGCGGCGCGGGCGCGGCGTCCTCGCACTCCGCTCTGGAGGCGCTCGCTCACTCGCGTCTTTCTAGGCGCGGCCGACGCCATCCGCTGTTCGTCCGCCGCTGGCGCGTGCGTTTGGGGAGAGGGGGGCAGAGGGCGCGCCATCCGTCACCTCAGCGCCTCCCCAATCGGCGCCGGTTGGCGGTCAGCTGACCGCCGCTGCCCGGTCGTCAGCTGACCGCCGCTGCCCGGTCGTCAGCTGGCCACCGCTGCCCGGTCGGATCGCGTGTGGCCCGCCGGGGCGGCCGGCTCGTGCCACAAAAGGTGCGCCGCTCTGAGTGGCTGCTACACGCCAGCCGGACGCGCCTCAATTATGCACCGCCGGCGACATAAGCGCGCCTTGTTTAGCCACGCGATGGCTGAAGTCGGTCGAATGTCGCGGTTTTGGAGATGGCGGGTCCGGCGGCCCGCTTCGGACGCCCGCGCGTGCGGCTCAAAAGGAGCCGCTGAGCGCGCGGCGATCGGCGCGCCGCGCCGCGGCACTCAGCGCGCCACGGGAGGCTGCCGCGCTCGGGCGGGCAGCGGTGCGTGAAAACGCGGCCGGCGGCGCACAGGACGGCCCTGGCCGGGCCCGGGGCCGCCGTCCGGTCGGCGGCTGACACCCGCGGGGACGGGCCGGCCTTGCGGGCGAGCTGCTCGCGCGCGCCGCGCTCGGAGGCGGCGTAAGCCGTGGTGCACTACCGCCGGGGCACGCTGGCCTCGTTCCCGAGATTTCCGCCGGATGCGCGCCAGCACGCGTGAACTCCCGTTACGCGCATCTCCGTTACGGAGATGTCCGTTACGAGGAATGGCGGTAGGATGTCCGTTACGAAGATGAACGGCTCGCAGCTGCCTGCTTGGGTGACTTGAATTGCTAACCGGCTTGATGTAAATAGACAAGGGTGGAAGTCATCGCAGGCCTTTCAAGCCCCGCGGGGCCGATATGTGGGGACATCACTCTCCTCGTGGCCAACATTAGCAGACGGCGTGCGGCGCGTCTTTCACAGTGTCAGTATCAGATGGCCATTGATCGTCAATCTATCTCCAGAGTTGTCGAAACCAGTTAGCCGCACCCTGCAGTCGCGGACAGCACCGGGTGGGTTCAGCCCACCGCCGGAGCAGAACCCGGCTGGGCCGTCAACCAGACAGCAGACAGCGTCGGGTGGGCCCAGTTCGCCCCCAGGCCAAACCCGGCTGGGCCGTCAACTGGACAGCGGACACCACTGGGTGTGGGTGCCCCCCTCCCCGCGGAGCCGTGCCCGGCTGTGCCGTCAACTGGACAGGATCGGCACGGCAAGCTCGGAGGAGCTGGGGCCTTATCGAACGGCTTGGTTGACTAACCGACGATTTACGGAGCTCCTAAATCACGGATGACCTCGACGACTGATTAGACCACCCACAAGGTCCCGCTGCGCAAGCTCAGGGGGTCGCTCAGAACGCACCAGCTGAGACCTCATCGAATGTCGGCAGCGTTATTAGCGAAAGCTCAGTTGACGGCAGCGCCAACTGCTGACTGCACCGGGTGTCAACAGCCCCGACGGACGACAGCCCAGCACCACCCACCGACAGCCCCAACTACCACCAGCACCAAACGCCGCTGAGGTGCTGTCTGCACCAGCTGCTGACTGCGCCACTGGCGCGCGCTGCGTGCCGGCGTGCTGACGGCTTCTCTAGCCGGGGAAGCGCGTTTAGTAGTGCTGTATGTTTACACAGCGGCGGGCCGTCAAGAAGCCGGCCTTCTCTCGTTAAGTCGGCGTTGCGACACAGTGTATTTAATATGGCGACTGGCTCGGGTCGTTGAAGTGACGCCATCTGATGGGGGGGGGGGGGGGCATGTTGAACGCTGTCTGGGCGGGGCTGCGGTCGGCCTGGCAGATGCTGCTTCCGAGCTGCTGTGGTCCCCAGCCACGCCCACGTATCCGCGCTGCCGGCCCTAACCCGCGCCGTTCAGTGGGGTCCGCGTGCGGGAAAGTCAGCGGGTTGCAAACGATCAGCCCTGTTGTGCTCGACCGTGCTGGTATTCAGTTATGCTATACTACATCCTGCTGCTCCTCAGACTTGCCACACCCTATCATACCGGGTCTCACTCATCGCTACCGTTCGCTACCGGTGGCCGTGGGCCCCTCTCTCGGCCTGTCGTCCCTCAATCATCCCTGTACCGGCCCTGTCGGTGCTGTTGCCGACCTGCCGGGCAGACCGACTGTCCTGCCTGCAGTGTCGCCGCCACGCACCTGTCTCCCCTGCGCCCCGACACCGGCTGCTGATGGAGTGGCGGTGGCGATGCGCGACGACAGGCCGCCCCGCCGTCTCCGGCCTGCCACCTGGCGGCGCACAGACGCACCCCGCCGGTCGCTGCCGCTCGCCGGATCAGCGCGTGCGCGTGGACCGCGCGCGCGGTGGAAGGAGGCACGGTGCCCAGTGGGGCCGGGAAGCGACCCGGGCAGGGAGGAGAGGGCGCTCACGATGATGGCCCTGCTTCGACTGCGCTCGTGTTGAACTTCGCCCGCCGCGTATGTTTCTGATTTACGCGGTCCTATAAGACAGACGCTGGCCTTCGTGGTCTGGAAGCAGTCGATTTTTTGGGCGCTATCCGTGCTGATTTCCACCAGGATTGTTTTGTCACTTTCAGCAGAACACAACTCCGGATATTTAGGGTGACCATGCTTGCGATTCGTTGGTTATTAATGTGTTGATCACTGGAGCCGCCTCTGTGCCCGGTTCACCTTGGTCAACGACTTCGGGCCAGTGCCTAGAGTACCGTGTCACCATCACCGACACAAAAGTAAAAACTGGCAGCCATCACACCTCTGAAATATGAATGAGATGTGATGACCTTGGACAGCGTCAAACCGGCGTGGTGGCTAGGGTTGTCACCTGGTGATGGAATCACTAATCCGAAGACCATTCATGCTGACAAAGGTCCGTTGCAGAAACACAACAGTCTCCAATCGAGGCGCGCATCACTCGGCTCTCACTCGTAAAATGATGTATCTCATCTGTGGTTAATCTTCAGGCATTCATCATCGTCACGAACGGCGACGTCTGGAAGGACATTTAAGGAATGGTTCCTCTTTTTTTTCTGCGCCATCCATTTCGGGCTGTGTCTGGATGTCGACCGTGGCGCGGAGCCTTGATCCGGTTGTGAAATATCGAGTCAGCCTTCGCGAACCTGCACCGCCAGATTGGGAGTCGACCAGCGTGGGTGGTGGCCTGGGACGACACAATGAAATTGGTCAGACGTTTAAGAATGTTGATAGGTATGTCATGCATTTTATTCCGGATGCATCGCATCATGATAAGCATAGTTATAGTCGCTCCTGCATGCATTTCCTTACAAAGAGCATGATGCTTCGTCAACATTTCTGCCAAGACCTGTAAAATGCAGCACGTGTTTTTAATGAACCTCGATTGGGCTTTTCCGCACTTTTAAAACGTGCCCTCCTGTCCGTCCTTACCAAACTTAGAGTCCGCATTGTAGACGCGTTTCATTCATCAGCCGAGTCAAAACTAGCCAACTATTTCTCCAACTGTTTGGAGTGGAGAAAAACTTCCAACCGTCTGCAGAGTCACCAGTCAACCACCGTCAACCAGTCAGTCACCAACCGTTGTAAACGCTATGGGGTTCGGTCTTTGGATGTAACCTCCTGACCACTGGATATCGTTCGCTTGGCCGTGCCGTTGCATGATAATCTCCCACTCATTTGCCCACCGCCCATTGACTACGACTAGTCATGCTGTCAGAACGCCGTTGCCACGGACGCGCCGCCGTCGAGCGAAGCTGCGCCAACTGGCGCTGGCGCTGTGCACATCGGGCCAATCTCTGCTGGCACCAGCGCGAGCGTCAGCGGGCGGGCGGTCCTCTGTCGGCCCCGCTGGCCCGGTGATGCGTTCCGAGCCATTGCCGCGGGCGTGCCACGCCATCCGGATGCGACCGGCGGTGGCGAAAACGCCGCATTTTCTGGACGGCTCACCACGGACCGCTCCTCTGAGCGGGGTTGTTTAGCGACATGTGTAGCTGGTGAGCTTGTTGGAATCGACGCCCCTGGTGGAAACAAGGCACAGTGGAATGCCGCTGCGGGGAGGGGGATCGGGACGTCTCGATGCCAAGTCTTGCACGTTGTCTTCTCGGTTTCTTCGGCCCCAGACCAAATTCTGCGAAATTCGGGATTATTGCAGCATGCGGTCTGGGATGACGTGGCGTGGGAGAGGGTCCGCCAGCCCACGCGAATCGCCGACAAACCCCCACAGTTCTGGAGGTGGCGCCAGCGTCGCGGGGGGCGAGGCGTGAACATCCGGCACCATGCGCTCTCCAGTCAACCGGGCCATGATGAAGCATGACGAGAACACTCGGGTGCTGGCCGGCCTGCTGATGGATGGTGCGATTGTTCATTTGGGTAATCCATTCTCGGAGCGCGCGTCGGCGCCGGTGCCGGCGGCTGGAGTCTGCGCTACAGAACGGCATATCGATCGGCCGATATCCCGCCGGTCGGCGCCGGCTCTCCCGCTCGTCCGCGCGCGCAGCCGACGCCGCGTCGCCGCCGACGGCGCCGGCCGGCAGCGTGGCAGACGGCTGCGGGCCGGCGTGGCTGCGGCCTCGGGCGGGCCACGATCGGGACCGGCGCGCGCCAGCGGGGCGCACGGCGGGTCGGCTTCGCGTCACGCGCTGGGCTCGGGCCGTGGCGACGTCCGGAGGAGGGCGAGTGAAGTGCGGGCCTGGTGCGCCGGCTCGCGCGGCGGCGGTCATGAGCCTTGGAGGTGGCAGCCGGATGCTCGCCGGTCGGGTGAGTGGGCCGACTTGGGGTCGTGCTAACGGTGAGCAGACCCCCAGCCGGTGGGGAGCCGCTGCGCTCGACGCGGCCCAGCGCAAGCAACCGTGCGGCGCGGGTGTGCGTGCGGCCGGATGCACGATGTACGTGCCGATGTACGTGTCTCAGATGTACGCGATGCCGTCGGCTTTCCATGTATCACGGCTCGTTCCGAGCAGGGTGATAGATTCGCAACGCCGGCACGTGCTTTGTTGCCGTCAGGTTGCCGCGCCGGCGGACAACGCCCACGTGACGGCCACGTGACCAATTGTGGCAGCCGGCCAGCTAGCGGCCTCTCGGGGACTCCCTGCATGGGCGCGCCTGTCGCGGTTGTGTTCGGGATAAGCCGAAGAGGCTGGCTATCCCTCTCGCCGAAGTGAGGCTTTCGCTCCTGGCTCTGCTGACACGCCGCGGCGGTCGCTTCAGCCACGTGACCCTGAAAAAGTCCTCGTCGCGTCCCCCGTCTGGACACGCACAGCGACCAGCCGGCCGTTACCTGCTGACCAGCCGGTTGTTCTTCGCTGGCATCGCGGAACGTGCGCGCTGCCACCCTGAGCGGACACCCTAACCACCCTAACCGTAACACCCTAACCACTCGGACACCCTAACCACTCGGACACCTGCCCCGCAAGTGTCTCGCCGGTCGGTACACACCGAGCGGGGCGGCGAGGGCCCCCGGCCGGTTGACATTGGACGACGGGCCCCAGCTCGCGGCGCCGCCGGCCTCCCCCTGTCCGTCGCGCCAGATCGATCTGTCAGTGGGGCCGCTCGCCTCGCGCCCCGCCGCCGGCACCGCTAAGCGCCCGCCCTCCGAGGAGGTGCACCCACGTGCCGTGCCGGCAGCGGCTGCAGGAAGCGGCCGCTATCTGCCGGACCGGGCGCCGCGCCGCTGCCGGCGGCTGCTGTGTCACCCGCGCCGATAGGGCTATCGGCCGCGGCCGCACCGTCACGCTGGGCGCGGCGGGTAACCACGCGCGGCGTCACCTGGGCCGCGCCGCACCTCTGGTCACCGGCGTCACGACGGATGGACATATGCGGCCGGATTAGCGTGGCCGGGCCCCCGTGCGGCGGCCGGCGAGAGTGTCGGCTCGGATCAGTCCGCTCACTGACGCCGGGTCACCCTGTGTCGGCGTGTTCTCCTGGCTGAAGGGCTACCGGCCCGGGCGGCACAGGCGGGTCCACTGGTCGTCCTCTCCCTGCTGACCAGATGACCCCTGGTCGTCCTCCCACTGCTGACCAGATGACCCCTGGTCGTCCTCCCCCGGTTGACCAGATGACCCCTGGCCGTCCTCCCCCTGCCGACCAGATGACCCCTGATCGTCCTCCCCCTGCCGACCAGATGACCCCTGGCCGTCCTCCCCATGCTGACCAGATGACCCCTGGCCGTCTTCCCCATGCTGACTCAAGTCACCCCTGGCGGCGCTCCCAGAGCTTGCGCAGACCACCCCTGACTGTCCTTTCAGTGCCAGTACTGACCAGCCCTGACCGTCCTCTCCGCGATGGCACAGACCTCCCTTAACTGCTCTCCCAGCGCTGGTGCAGACGTCCCTTGACCCACAGACCGTCCTCGACCCGGCACACAGACCCCGCTGACAGTCCTGCCCGTGCCGACCCAGACCACGCATGACAGCCCTCTCTGTGCTGACCCAGACCACAGATGACAGTGCTGCCCGTGCCGGCCCAGCCCCGTCCGTGTCGGCTAATGTGATGACAGCCCGTGCTGTTCGCCATCGCTGTCGTATTGACCGATGGCTCTCCAGTCACGCGCTGTTGACGTGTGACCGAGAGATAGGCTGCGGCACCGGGGCCGCAACTCCCTGACCACTCCCAGGGTGGCCCCAGCACCGCGGGCCGCAGCTCCCTTGCCACCCCCAGGACGGCCGCGGCACCGGGAGCCGCAGCTCCCTGACCACCCCCAGGACGGCTGCGGCACCGGGGCCCATAGCTCCCAGCCCGCTCCCAGGGCGGCCGGGGCACCGGGGGCCGCAGCTCCCTGACCACCCACAGGGCGGCCGCGGCACCGGGGCCCATAGCTCCCTGACCACCCACAGGGCGGCCGCGGCACCGGGGCCCATAGCTCCCTGACCACCCACAGGGCGGCCGCGGCACCGGGGGCCGCAGCTCCCTGACCACTCCCAGGGCGGCCGCGGCATCGGGGGCCGCAGCTCCCTGACCACCCACAGGGCGGCCGCGGCACCGGAGGCAGCAGCTCCCAGCCCGGTCCCAGGATAGCCCCGCCACCGCGGGCCGCAGCTCCCAGCCCGGTCCCAGGGCGGCCGGGCGGCGGTCGAGGCGCCGCGCTCGGCACGCTACGCCGGCCGGCCCTGCACTGCGCCAAACTGGGGCACGATGGCCTGGCGCGGAGAGTTGGCGGTCGGGTTCAGCTGCGTTTCGGAGAAGCGCACGGTGGAACTTCTTGGCCGCGAGGAGTGCTATGCGCGTATGGAACTGAACTTGTCGTTGCAAACTCTTCAAGCGGGGGACTAGTATGAACTAGGAACTAGTCAATGCCTTGGGATCGGAAGATCGAAGGTCTCAGGACATGGAAGGTGTATTTTATGTCCTTAATTTAGTGATATATGGTCCTGCGTTAAAAAAACGTCGAAGAAGAAACGGGAAAACTTACCTAATTTTACTAATGTTTGTGTACCTACAAAGCATGTTGATAGGCTTGTGTAAACAAAACCAGTCAGGTTAAATGCAGTCATTGAAATGCCTGAATTTGCCTTTGGTGTGGCAAGTCCAGGACGCTGGGCTGCTCGTGATTGGTTCGCGATATGCTCTCTGTGAGTGTGTATGCAGGATGGGCACGGTTTTGTTCGCGTCCGCTCAGAGCGAATGCGCCGACGAATAAGACGACCGATAGCAGTGCCTCAGTGGCAGTGCCGGCAGTGCCTCAGTGGCAGACCGATAGCAGTGCCTTGGTGGCAGCATCTCAGGCCAACAGTTCATTGCTTTGACGTGCATGCATGTTCCCCGAGATGGCTGCATTATGCATGCAGACGGTGGGGGTGGGAAGAGGAGGAGGCACCTCACCGTTGTGCGGGGGCATGCTCGACGCATGACCCGAAAGCTTTTGGATGTAGATGTAATCATGGAAGGCAGTTCTAGCGTAATGCGAAAACGTTGTTAGGAAGAGAGAGGGGTAGAGAGTAAGAGAAAGTAGAGAAAGGAAATAAATAGAGGCAAAGGAAGAGAAAACGAGGGAGGGGGACGGTGACAGAGACAGAGACAGAGACAGAGACAGAAACAGAGACAGAGACAGAGACAGAGACAGAGACAGGGACAGGGACAGTGACAGGGACAGGGACAGGGACAGGGACAGAAACAGGGACAGGGACAGGGACAGAGACAGATACAGAGACAGAGACAGAGACAGAGACAAGGACAAAAACAGAGACAGAGGAAGAGGCAGAGACAAAGATAGGTGGTATTCAGACCATCTGACTGGCTAGAGAGCTCAGCATCATTTCCACCACCCCAAGCGCGACTCGGTGATGGATTTTCGGAGCCGCCGCCGCCGCCGCCGCCGCTAAACGTCATTTCTCTCGCTCTGCCCCACACGCTGGCTCGGCCTTTGTGTCTGCTAATCTTCGCCGGCCGGCCCGCCTCGCCGGCGCCCTGCGGCGGGGCGGGCTCGTCCCGCGAGTCGCTCCTCACCCCGGACAACGGCGGCCGCGAACGAGCCACGCGCGCCCGGCGGACCAGCCGCCGCCGCCGCCGCCGCCGCCGGCGCCGGCCGTACGCGGGGCACGCGCTACGCTCGGATGACACGCCCCCTCCCGCCGCGCCGTCTGTGCGGCCGCCCGCTCAGCTGGGTGTGACTCAGTGCCGCCGCGAGCCTCCCGAAAACCATTGATTTGTTGAGTCACTGTACCGCCACCCCCGCCGCTGCCGCCGCCGCCGCCGCCGCCGCCGCCACCCTGCGCAGCCGGTTATTTAGTGGGGCCCGGTATCATGTCGATGGGGCGTTTGTAACAGCCCCAGTCACGCCGCCGCCGGTGGCCGATTGGGGCGCCATCCCGCGGCTGTGAGGCGAACCACGAGCCTCGCTGCCTTCAAAGGTATTGCAGGGCAATCGCGATATGTGTTGGCTGTTTATGAATTGAGGTTAGTTGAAATTATCGTCTTGCGATCGGACTATTTAAGACCACCTGCTCCAGTTGTTCTTTCAGTCGCAGATTCTGGCTGCCGTGGTGCCCGCATTGTTTACGGCGTGCGCGTATGATCATATCTTGGCAGAATCATTGTCACGACATGCAACAGTCAGTGTCACGACACAACCCGTGACAGCCGGCGTTGCAATCCGTCAGGTCATCGTCACAACTTGTCAAAAGCTACCGTCACCACCTGTAGCACCGTTTGCCGCAACGTATAATGTGTGTGAAATTTGTAGGTGTGTTTGCAAGGCACCTATGCTATACTGCATCATTGCACCGAATTCGAACTGTTGCGGACCGCGCCACGTGGCTTGGGATCTTCGGCACCTTCCGGCTTATGGTGCAGTGAACTGAATTTATCCTTGATGAACTGGATGGCGTCTTATATGAATCATATGTTTTCGCCATGACATTCCACGTGGACAGGCTGTTTTCTGGGTTTAGATTCCGCTATCATATCTACCGATCGTTGAAAGGTATAAGCCTCATAGGAAAAGCCTCATCCGTCGAGCGCTGCGCTTCTTAGAGCTGCCAGTAACACGATTAGGCCTGATGGGTGCCAATCAGGAAGTATGAACGTTGCAGTCAGTTAAAGCTGATTACAAGTAAAGCGGACGCTGATAACTGCTGCTCGCTTTTCTCTGTCCGCAACAGCCATCGGCAGCCATCAGCTTTCGGCCCGGTGCTTGAGAACCGGGCCTTGGTGGGCTGTGAGTTGGACGGCTCAGATAGTCGGCTGGCGGTCGGAGGCCGGCCGCGCTGAAGCCCATCGTACAGGAGAGACCACGTGCCAGTGCACGGAACAGTGCATCGGACTGGTGCACCGCTGAGTGTCAAGTGTGTCAAGCGTAAAGACCGCTGACGGCCGAGTGTAACGTGTCAAGTGTCAAACCCTTCAATGATACCGAGCCGTGGGGTGAACGGACGCGCCGCTGCTGGTGCCGCTGGTGGTCTCTGATCTGCCGCCGTCGCAGAGCGGACGCGGGGGTGTGGCTCTAATCGTCGCCAAATGCGCCAACGGATGCAGCGCCTGCACGGCTTAGGCTGAGACACGTCCGATTGGCTTAATTCTGAAATCACTGAGGACTCAGCGATACTTAGACAGACTTGAGCGCTGACACGTGCCTGGGTCTGCAAAGTGGGTCCAGGACCCCATAGGGAGGGCTCCATGATTTCGGGATCTTGGAATCTGGTAACGTATCCGCCGGTTTGCCGTTTGGTTGGGGAAGGGGCGAAAGCCTGACACTTCCGGTGACGTCGATGCCCCTCTTTGTTCCGTCTCGGATGCCGTGGCAAGGAAGTAGCCGTTTCGTTGTTCGTCTGTTGTCTGGCAGTCCTGACTCAACCCGTCGCTTTCCGGTCACGAGTTGGGAGCGCTCCCTTCAGCTCGCCGCAGCGCCGCAGCGGCGCCCGTCACAGTAGCGACCGATCGTCACCCCAACTAGATTCTCCCTCCTGCTCCTCCTCCTGCTCCCTCTATCCCTCCTCGGCCCGCTCCTCCGCCCGCTCCTCCTGCCGCTCATCCCCCCGCTCCTCCTCCGCTCCTCCGCCCGCTCCTCCTCCGCCAGCTCCTTTTGCCGCTCCTTCGCACGTTCCTCCGCCCGTTCCGTCTGCCGCTCCTTCGCCCGCTCATTCGCCCGCTTCTCCGCCCGCTCCTCCTCCCGCTCCCCGGCCGTTTCCAGCCCGCTCCTCCTCCATCTCCTTCTTTCCCTCCTCCAGCTCCTCCTCCAGCCGCCAGCCGCTCTGACCTTCGGGACGCGCCCGCCGCAGTCTCACCCCGCCGCCGCCCCGCCGATGCCGCTCACGCTGCAGCCCCCCCCCCCCCCCCTGGGCCAGTCGTACGGCCCCGCTGGCCGGCGGCCCTCGAGCCATCAATCAACACCACACAGATCCGGTGTTGACTGCGAGACTTCAGCCGCCGCCGGCGCCGGCTCGGCGTGCGGCCCGCTATCCGGCTCCCGGCTGAATTATGGACGGCGGCGTCGGTCGGAAAAGTTTCGCGGCGTTGCTGGCGCACCGGCGGCCGCAGCGAGCCCGGCGGCGGCGCGGTGCTGACCCCGGGGAGCACCCCCCGACTGCGGCGCCGGGCAGAGGTCGGCGTGATGGGCGCAGCGGCCGACTCGCGTTCGGGTGTGTCCGAGGCTCTTGTCGAGTGTGTCCGAGGCTCTTGTCGTGATTATGACGCGGCGGGAGCCACGTACTGTCCTACAGCGACTCTTGCACAGCAGGTCTGAGAAACTCCGTGCTGCGAGGTGGCACTTCTCGCTGCGTTTTTCTTCAACTTGGACATCAGTATGGTTTATAAACATCCAGCGGCGTTGTCGACATAGCCCCATGCGTGTGTAACTATATTTATGCTTGAGGGCACTTTTTCATTTTTATGAAGACTATCGTGGCCAGGGGAGATAATTAAAGACCAAATACTTCATTTGACTGCTTCGTAAGGCCACAAAATGATCAGCGATGTCCAGGCGCCACTAAACCACGTATTATCATCATCAGAGGCCACGCATGTGAAGGTCAATGTTGTGCTCGCTTCAATCACTTATGGGTATGCTCGCGTGCCGGCTGACTTGTAGCTTTCTTTTCGTCTGCCCCTCCCCCCCCTTGGACTTTCAGAGAAAGGGACAAGTGCATGTCAGATGTAGACAGTTCAGTCGGGGATTTCTCTGTCGTGCTAAGTCCAGTGCGTTTGCCCGCTGACTTTTTATGGCGTATTATCATGCAGTCATTTTTTTGGCTTTTATGCTGTAGTGCCACTTTCAAATTTATATTGTTCGCTGCACTTGGCTGCATGCACGTATTTATTCGCCATGGGTGTAACAGTTCGTACTATATTATTATATCATATTCCCTCATACGATGATCATAATTTGACTGTACTGTGCATGAGTACCGGCTGTTTTGTCGTTGCCTTTAGTGCCCCACACAGGTAATAGTGACGAAAGACAAGAAAAAAGTGTTGAATGTTTTCGCGTTGCATTTTGCTGACGCATCCCTCTTTCTTGTTGCAGAGGTCGGCAGGTGAGAGTCGCGGCCGGCAGAACCGACAGCTGCTCAACATGAGCGTCGACAACGACCGGTGTCGGGATCGCATCCTCTCCATGCAGGACGAGCTACAGAGGTGAGGACGCGCCAGATTCCCCGTGAGGGAGGTCACGGGGGGCAGGTGACGGAGTTCCCATGGCCCGGATTATGTCACTTGGCTCGCGCACGATAGTGATATGATGATGTCACGTCACCTAAATGACAGACGTGACACATTGCGGACCATGGAAGTCACCATGGTCAGAGGGGGGGGGGGGGGACTACCGGAGCCGCGGAAGGTTTCGCGGCGGGCCGTGGGACGATGGTCGAGTGGTCTCCACTGTCAGCCGAGATGGAACTGGGCGAGCCACGTCACGAAAGTCGTGATCTGCGTGAAGCAATCAGTGGAGCACACTCGCCACGCTTTTTGTCCAATGACTCCAGTTATTTAATGTTTCTTTATTTTATTGCGTATTCGCGCTCTTTGAATGTGCACGCTCTACGATCAGCCTGTGTTAACAAATTACGTTTTTACATTTTATTTGAACGTTGCCACCAGTATTGTTTTAATCTGCTTCCTTTCCAACGAGACAAACATGCGTTTTTGCAGTCAAAAGTAGTACAACTATGGCTGATCGTCCTGAGTCACATACATTTTGGTGGAGCACATCGCATGTGTCATCTATTTTAAAATGCCTGTGGATGAATCTGGATGATTTTTCCGCGTGCTCATATTTCATTGTCTGGGACATCTTGCTCAATTTATCAAGACAAAATAAGCTATTGGGTGCGTCCTGTTGGAGGCAATTTTCCAATGCCGTAAAGCTCGCCAACTTGGTCCTGATGACTGCCTGCTCGGAAATGCTGCCGGAAATTCGCGGCAGATCGAAGTCACGCTCGGATATTGCCGACAGATGGCGCGTCGGCGCTTCTGAGTTCCAGCGCGCCCGCGGCCACTAGATCAGTCCGAGCACGCCGGTCGGGGGAGGAGCCAACTGGGCCCTAATCCGATTGCTCTAGCTTTCTGTCGAGTAGATAGATGCAAACGCGGGCCAGGAGATGACTCCAGCGTTTATCAAGCGATAGGCGTTTTAAGCCGCCAGACGCCAGGGTAGAAACGGAAAGAGCCAGGGATGTGCTTTCCTATTCAGGTTGGGCACCAACGCCCAACTTTGAGAAGCAAGTGAACCATATCCGATAAGAAACTCGCTTGTTGGCGTATTTGGGGGAGGGGTCGCCATTTTTCTGTTTGGCCCCCAGCTCATACTGCGGAAATACGCCCCTGAAGAGGAAGTTTTGCGGATGACTATCATTTGACCTGAAGCGTGGGCGCCACAGCACTAAAACTACCAGGAGTCTGGATGTCATCTGTTTAACTTTGTCAACTGACAAGTCCTTTACTCACACTGGCATTCAGCGACCTCCACGAATACGGCAGCACTGAAGGGCAATCACCCTTTCAACAAGCTTTTCACTCTCGTCCAGAATAGTCACGGCCACTGGCCCTCACGCAGTGTCATGGCTAGTCAGGTCCGCTAGAGCGTTCTCAAACCCATGTTTTGCTGGCACGAACCTCACAGCCGTTATAAGAAATGGTGACACTGATTGCCCTATAACAGTTGTCCGTGTCAACAAATACCCTGCCGTCGTTGGCTCCCCGCTGATCTCCCTCCCCTCCCCCTCCGGCAGGTCGGAAGGGCGACTGCGAGCCACCGAGCTGGCACGTGCCGAGGCCGACAAAAAGCTGGCGGACGCGAACGCCCTGCTGAGCTCGCACGAGGTGGGTGGGAGTCGCAGCAGTGCCTTTGTGCCCGGCTAGGGCGGCCGGCTTTGTGAGTGCCGCCGGCCGCTGGCGTAAGCCGCTCGCCGTCGCCGGCCCCACTCTCCTCCATCTCCGCTCAGACACCAATTAGGTAATGCCGCGTCCGCCGCCCATGATAATCCCGGTGATGAAGTGGCGCGGCCGCGGCCGCCTGTCGATGCGCGCCTGGTTTACGGCCGGTCGGTGCGCCGCTGACGGGGCAAATCGCCTCGGGCGTTCCGGCGCCGGCCAGCGAGCGGCTGGGTCCACCGCGGGCGTTCCGGCGCCGGCCAGCGAGTGGCTGGAGCGGCTGGGTCCACCGCGGGCGTTCCGGCGCCGGCCAGCGAGCGGCTGGGTCCACCGCGGGTGGACCGGCGCCGGCCAGTGAGCGGCTGGAGCGGCTGGGTCCACCGCGGGCGTTCCGGCGCCGGCCAGCGAGCGGCTGGGTCCACCGCGGGTGGACCGGCGCCGGCCAGCGAGCGGCTGGAGCGGCTGGGTCCACCGCGGGCGTTCCGGCGTCGGCCAGCGAGCGGCTGGAGCGGCTGTGTCCACCACGGGCGTTCCGGCGTCGGCCAGCGAGCGGCTGGAGCGGCTGTGTCCACCACGGGCGTTCCGGCGTCGGCCAGCGAGCGGCTGGGGCGGCTGGGTCCACCGCGGGCGGACCGGCGCCGGCGCGGGGGCTCGTGCGGCATCGTCGCCGCCGCCGGGCGGATGGGCTGCTGGCTGCGCTCCAGAGTGGGTTGAGTCGCGTGTGTATGTGTGTGGGAAGGGGGGGGGGGGCGAGACCACGCCATGTGGTGCGGGATTGTGTACTGTATGGAGGGGTCGTCGCCTCGGTGGCTGTCTGCTACTGTACGGAGGGGTTGGCACCTCGGTGTTATGTCTGCTACTGTACGGAGGGGTTGTCGCCTCGTTGGTGGCTGTCTGCTACTGTGCGAAAGGGTTGTCGCATCAGTGTTGGCTGTCTGCTACTGTACCGAGGGGTTGCCGCCTCGTTGGTGGCTGTCTGCTACTGTGCGGAGTGGTTGTCGCCTCAGTGTTGGCTGTCTGCTACTGTGCGAAAGGGTTGTCGCCTCAGTGTTGGCTGTCTGCTACTGTGCGAAAGGGTTGTCGCATCAGTGTTGGCTGTTTGCTACTGTACCGAGGGGTTGCCGCCTCGTTGGTGGCTGTCTGCTGCTGTGCGGAGTGGTTGTCGCCTCAGTGTTGGCTATCTGCTACTGTGCGAAAGGGTTGTCGCCTAAGTGTTGGCTGTCTGCTACTGTGCGAAAGGGTTGTCGCCTCAGTGTTGGCTGTCTGCTACTGTACGGAGGGATTGCCGCCTCGTTGGTGGCTGTCTGCAACTGTACGGAGGGGTTGTCACCTCGGTGTTATGCCTGTTACTGTGCGGAGGGGTTGTCGCCTCGGTGTTGGCTGTCTGCTACTGTATGGAATGGTTGTCGCCTCGGTGTGGGCTGTTTGCTACTGTGCGGAGTGGTTGTCGCCTCGGTGTTGGCTGTCTGCTACTGTACGGAGGGGTTATTGTTGTCTCGGTGCTGACTGTCTGCTACTCGTGCAGCTGTGCTGCGCGATGGATGAACGGTCTTTGGTTGTTGCGTGCGCTGTGCACTCTTCCGGCGAATATTGTGATTTCTTCTGCTGACTAGCTGCTGGCGTGCTGTGCTTCGCTGTATGCATAGACGTGTTTCGCTGACACTTGTGTCTCGCACTGACAGGAGAAGGTATGACCTATTGTACTGACACGAGCTGTTCATAACGCGGCGCATGTCGCTGACTCCGAACTTGGCGGACCTCACATCAGACGTCTTGCTACTGAAATACTCTGCATTTTCCAGATTTTGTTTGCAGTTGGGAAACCGGTAGGTGCGACATTTCCCACGCTCATACAAACATTTGAACGGGCTCACCGTTTTCTACGAGCAGTGTCTTAGTGCCCCCCCCCCCCCCCCCCCCGAAGACATGAGTTGTGCTCTGACGCAGGATGTCCCGTTTGTCCATGGCCATGCACTCTGAATGGCATTGTCTGTCAGCGCGCCAGTGATGCGCCTGACGCCGCTCCCTCGTCCCCCAGACGGAGCGGCAGCAGTGGCTGGGCCAGATACACCTAACGCCGCCCCTCGTCCCCCAGACGGAGCGGCAGCAGTGGCTGGGCCAGATACACCTAACGCCACCCCTCGTCCCCCAGACGGAGCGGCAGCAGTGGCTGGGCCAGATCCAGCAGCTGACGGCGCAGCTGGAGCGACTGCAAGCAGCGCCGCCGCCGACAGAGGTACGGTCCACCTCGCGAACCACTGACGGCCGTCCGCCGCGCCGTGGCAGGGCGGCCGGGCGTTGCCGGGCCGGGTGGGCGGCGACGGGCTCTGGGGCCTGGAGCATGGAGCCGGGCAGCCGGAGGAGATAGCGAGCTGGTACTCTGAAGCAGGGTTGCCTCCCTCGGTCTTGCTAATTGGCGCTATGTAGGTGCTTTTGCAGTCATCTTGCGACCCCCCCCCCCCCCCTCTTCCCTCAGCTAAACTCCCCGTCAGCAGCAGCGGCGCAGTCAACGTCTGAGGATCCACAAACACACCATCCCGCCTCTAGTGTCACTCGTAATTTGCAGCCTTTCTCTCATAGGGTCCCAGCAGACAGCATTACCTGCCGTATCAGCCAGTCCACGCCTTTTCCATCTCGGCGTCGTGTCGGTACCAGCAGCATGGTCGATCTCCGTTGTGGGTATGGCCACCTTCCCATTTTCCCGTACAAGTGCGGCTGCTGATGGTACCGCACCACAAGCCACCGCGCGCTCTCTCGACCGCTCCGGCGAGTGACGGCCGGCGGGGTGACAGGTGGTGGTTGGTGGTGACGGGTCGTGACGGATGATGACGGGTGTTGACGGATGGTGACCGGCGGTGACGGGTGGAAGCAAATGACGAAGAGCAGGGGCAGCGTCACGGATTTTGGGTTGGGGGCAGGATTTTCTAGGGGCCCTGCCGGACAAAATTGGGCCTCCTCACAGGGGGACCTCCCAGCTAGTGTCGCGTTTAAAGGGAGAGGCACCTGGAGCATGTGTCCTCACATCAAATTTTTGTATGCATTATATATATATATATATATATATATATATATATATATATATATCCACTACACAAATGCATAAATGTCAACAATTTAAGGGTCCAGAAGGGACCTTCTCATTATCCAGTAAAGGGTTTCGCTACCCTAAACAGGGTAAACTGTTTCAGAAAGGGCCTCCTGATGCATAGCAGGGCCTCCTGGTCCATAACAGAATCTTCCAATTCCCGAAAAGAACCTCTAAATCCAGCTGAGTGACCTCGTTATCCCAAAACAGGGCATCCTGATCCTAAACCACGGCCACCTGATGCATGGAAGGGTCCTCCTGTTCCAGAAATAGGGCCTCCTGAATAAAGAGAGTGCTTCCTAACCCAGACCAGGGGCCATGTAGTTCGTAGCGGGGGTCTTCGGAGCCAACAAAAAGGCCTCCTTAGCATAGTATTAGGCCCACTTATCTAGAACATGGGCTACCGTATTCATAAAGGTGGTTTCATGATTCAAAAACGGGCCCCTTGATGTAGAAAAGGTTCCTCTGGACCCGATGCAATACTCTCTAGTTTTATGGAGACCTCCTTGATGAGAATTTTGAAATCTACGACTTACTACCATGCCTTGGGCTTAGAAAAAAGGGGCTTCCGAAAATTATGAGTGGGTCGAAATATACTCTTGCCCATCCGCCACCTCCCCCTGCTGCGCCGGCCCTGGTGACCGATGGTGGTAGATGGCGACAGGTGGCGACGGATAGTGACGGGTGGTGACGGTGGTGACGATGGTGACGGGTGGTGACCGCTGGTGACTGCCGGCATTGTTTAGTGACCGGTACGGGAGAACGCGTTACCTATTGATCGGTCTACTGCACTAGCGGCGAGCGGCGCCTGTCTACGCCGACTAGAGGCACCTGTCTCCGCCGACTAGGGGTGGCTGTCTTCGCCGACAAACGGCGCTTGTCTCCGCCGACGAGCGGCGCCCTTCTCCGCTGACCAGCGGCGCCTGTCTCCGCCGATGAGCGGTGCCTGTCTCCGCCGACGAGCGGCGTCTGTCCCCGCCGTCAAGCCATGCCTGTCTCTGCCCGTCTCCGCTGACCAGCGGCGCCTGTCTCCGCCGACGGGCGGTGCCTGTCCCCGCCGCGCCACGCCCCTACTCCGCTGGCCAATTACGCCCGCTAATTGCGCCCCACGCGACGCCGGATCAGCCAAGGGAGACACGATGAAGACGGAGGGCCACTGCGACGGGAACGGCACGGCCGGCCGCGCCAACGGAACCGGCGCCAGCGCAAGGGGTGGATGCTGAGGCAATTGGCAAGCGGCGTCTGTGCAGGGCGTTGCGACCCGCTTTCAGCCCATGTCGCCGGCGGATTGCGTGAGCTTACCAAGGCAGGGAGCGGAGGGGGCACCGTCGGCGCTGACGTCGCGCGAGCTGCTAGACAGGCGGCCGACATTTTTGGGAGCGGCGTTTCTGGCGCCCCTGTCCGATCTCGAGAGTGCGCTCAGCAGTTTGGCGAGAGTGGGCGGGCAGACCGGCGGGAACCGGTCGCGTAATCCGTAACCGGGCTGCGGAACAGGCTGCGAAGGCAGCTGCACACGCGCCGCCGCAGCAGTCGGCTCGCCCGGCGCTGGCGGTCGGCGCCGCCACTCCGCTGTCGCCGGAACTACGGCTGATCCGACTGAATGGAGCCATTCCGGGAAGCCTGACACTGCGGCGCCCCAAGCGCCAGACCGGTCTCCTCCGCGGACCGGCGGGATCATTTTGTGCGGGCGACAGCTGACAAATGTCCGGCGTATGGACGGAGGCGGCCGTAATAGGGCCCGCTCCGGCACGTGCGCCGTGCGCCGGACCTCTTTGTCCGTGGCTCGCCGGTCACAGGTCGCAGACATCGGCGAGGCCGCCCCTAGAGACAGGCAGCGGGCAGAGCGCGGCGGCGAGCTGGGGGATGTACCGGTTCCCAGTCTCCGAGCCGGGGCAGCGGCGCGGTGGCACGCGGCCGGCGGGCGCGCCGCTTTACGGCTGGCGGCGATGAGTGGTGCGGCCGGCTTGATTGGTCCCGATCGGCGGGGTTTGATGGCGGCGAACTCGGCCGTCAGAGCGGAGCTCAGCCTCTCGCCGTCACGGGCGCACCGGGCTCAAACGCTCCCGACCGAGAATCGCTCAGCGAGTGTGCGACACTCACGTCCGCGGAGTAATTTACATGTCGTCTTGAACCGGGTCATGCATTATTCATGGCCTTTCAAGGGACGACTGTCATGGAAATATGACGCTAGACGAGGCGTCTACTTGCTGCATTTGTGTCATTTGACGGTCAGCAGCCGAGAACTTAAGTTGTGTCCGCTTTTCGACTGCGGCCTTCGTCGCGCGTCGAAATAAATGACGCCTTTTCGAGCCCTCAGCATTTTCCGCCTGATAAGCGGCAGCACGCTGTTATGACGATTGTCTTCATGTTTAATTCACCGCCCGAGATTTACGACTGCCAGCGCGGAAAATGGGCGCCGCAGTCAATGCTAATATGCAACGATAGCTGGGGATGAGGCCACCGTCTTGGACGGAGCTGACTTCCGCCGTGTGACGCCTTGGACGAAGCTGACTTCCGGCATATCGCGCCACGGGCGGAGCTGACTTCCGGCATATTGCGCCGTGGGCGGAACTGACTCGCCATATTGGACCGCGCATGGCCGAGACAAATCTGCGTGGTGTGCGAGGAAGTCTCTTTATGACGTCATCCAGTGCTGGCGGCCGCCGCGCAGTCGACGGAGGACAAAGGGACAAAGCGGAGACTGCGGGATCGATGCGGCAGCTGTCGGCTGAGAGAGCCGTGAGATTTTGGCCCGTCGTGACGGACATGCCCCTGGCGCCGCTGATTTGACGGGGACAGGTCGGAACACGCGCTCCGGTGCGCCGTTTTGGAGTTGGCCCCGGCGAAGAGGGCCGACAGGGAGCTCCGAGGCCACCTGATGGATTCTAATTAAGTTTAGAGGAGGGGAAGGGCTATTTTAATATGCTATCTTAATGACTTGCCTGATTGAATCGTCCTAGGCATGGCATCGCATATTACATCCAATAATGTTTGTTCTGTTTGAGGTTGAGTCATTAGTGGTTTAGAAGCGATGTCTTCCGCGTGTATTTGGGGACTCCGTCTGCGCTCAGTTGGTCACTGAGGCCGCTCTCATTGTTCTAGCCGGGGTCGCCGAGTCGTGCTGACCTGGAGGTCAAGGTCAGGGCGTTGGAGGCGGAGCAGACCGAGCGGGAGCGCCGCTCGGAGCGCTGGCTGGATGACATGGCTTACCAGATCGTGCAGGCGCTCTTCAAACAGAAGGTGAGAGACCGCCTGTCGCTTCCTGCTCAGACGCTACTCATTGGGCTGTATCACAATTCGTACCACAGCTTAGTCAGCTGTCTCGTACCGAGCTTCAGCAAACTAAGCTGTCTGACACTCGGTTCCGGCTGAGGCGCACCTCACTCAGTTGCAGCTGAGGTGCGCTTCACTCAGTTCCAGCTGAGGTGCGCTCCACTCAGTTCCAGCTGAGGTGCGCTTCACTCAGTTCCAGCTGAGGCGCGCCTCACTCAGTTCCAGCTGAGGCGCGCCTCACCCAGTTCTAGCTGAGGTGTGCCTCACTCAGTTCCAGCTGAGGTGCGCCTCACTCAGTTCCAGCTGAGGTGCGCCTCATTCACTTCCAGCTGAGGTGCGCTTCACTCAGTTCCAGCTAAGGTGCGCCTCACTCAGTTCCAGCTGAGGTGCGCCTCACTCGGTTCCAGCTGAGGTGCGCCTCACTCGGTTCCAGATGACGCGCGCTTCACTGGGTTCCAGCTAAGTGTGTCTCACTCGGTTCCAGCTGAGGTACGCCTCACTCGGTTCCAGCCCTGCGGGTTATCTGGCGCTCACTTCCAGGTCACTTCGCTGCCTTGGACGCAGCCCAGGCTCCGCCACTGGCCCCACACAGCTGCGTCTCAGTTGTGTCTCGATTCCAGCGCATTTTTCTGCAATCCAATGGCCAGACTTCCTCGGCAACTTTCCTTGGGCCCTCTGTTGACCTGCATACAGGAGACAGGCCCCGCTAGAAAAACGCCACGTCCGGACCAAAGCAGCCATGCGTCACGACCACCGGTCAGGAGTTGAACGGCGCGACAGCTGGACGGCCGGGCTTATGCTGTGCTCCGCAGTGCCACAGTGCACTCGCGGCCATAGCTGTGCGGCGATAGCATCGGCGGCGAATGCCGACTCGCCGTCTGACGCATGCACACCGGTTTTGCCGATTCCTTTAACCGGCTTCATGTCCCGTGCGGGTTTTTTATGGAGTGCGATTGAGCAAACTGCCGTGACATGCTATGTGGCAAGACAACAAGCTACGGCGGCTAGTCAAGTGCAACTGACCGCCCAGTCGTCTGCCGCTGTGGCAACCATTCATAAATAACTAGACGTTGTCGGCAAATGTCGTACTTGCGCGTCCATGAGTGGCGTTGCTTAGAAAGTTTCAGCAGAAACCATCATGCTGTCATACATCCTAGAACGGATGACGCGAGTACCCAAGCCTGGTTAGCAAAGCCGAGTGTAAGGTTCGCAGAACGCTTAACTTTACTGCTTGAAGGTCATGCACACCGCATTTTGGAATGCCTTCATTTTGACGTAATTGGCATACCCGATCTTGTCTTCACCCAATAAACTAGCTTTGTCTGCCAAAACCGGTCGGATGTTTGTCAGCGCCGTTCTTGAATGCCAGCCATTCCAGCATTGCTCGGCCAACCGGGGGGGGGGGGGGGGTCCACCGCGGTAGCGGCAGCCCCCATGCCCGTTGGCGACTGCAGGCCCTCACGTGCATACCTCAGGATGTCAACCGGAGCGCTCCAGCATTACCTCGAGCCGCCTTTCCGGCAGATGCTGCAAAACGGCTTGGCGTACCTGCGTCGGCGCGTGCGTGAGCTGGAGCATGAGAACGCTGTGCTGTACTCGATGCTCGGCCGCGCGCCTGGGGGCGCGCCGGCGTCCCCGGCCGCCCACCCGACGGTCAGTGGCGCCGGCGTCTCGCGCTATCGGTCGGCGCCGCGGTTCCTCCGCTCGGGAGATACCGGAACGCGCGCGTTCTGCCGCGGCCTCCGCCTGCGGTTTCGGGCCCTGCAATTGTGGGCGATGGCTGGCCGCAAACTGAATAGTAACGGTCGGGCCAAACTGTGCTGTTTGGAGATGCTGCACTGCTGTCGCTGGCTCGTGGGTGGTTGTGGACGGAGCATTTCCTTTTCTCCCTGCATTTTCCGTTATTTTGCATTCTGTCGGCGGCAGTTTGCGTTCGGTGGCAATTAGCCCGCGTTTAATGACATGGAAACGCCCGCTGATGAGCTTATTTGTGGCGCGGCGTATTGTCACCGCCTTTGTTTTCCTCCCTCACGCCGACCTACCATCCGCTGTTGCAGACACCGACGGCACCTTCAGGCGTCGGCTCAGCTGACGACGGTCAGCTGACGATGATGTGTGCGAAGGTGCGGCGCGTTCTCGAAGAGCACTACAGTGCGTCGACGAGCTCGCAGGCTGCGCCAGTGTCCAGCCCGCCGCACTGGTCTCAGTTCGACTCGCTCCTCACAGATGGCGATATACCCGCCGCTTGCCTCGCCTGTGCTAGTCACACTTGTGATAGTGGCTGCCGGCTGCAGCAGCCTCTCTGGACAGCCGATCGGACTCCCGCACTGCATGCCGCGGCGACCGGAACAAGCTGCAGTTCTGTGGGCGGCCACCAGAGTGCGCCGTTGGCGGGCGGTGCCGACAGTGGGATTATGCGTCGCCTCTGTGAGGTGGCGGACTCAGCGAGCGCCGCTCAGCGCAGCCTCAGCAGGCTCGGGTCGGAACAGTGCACAGTGCCGCGGGTGTACCAGGCCAAACCTGAAAGGGTGGCGACGTCCCACTTGTCGAGCGCCTTGACCGACTCTGAAAAATGCGCCACTCTAGGCGTGCTGCCGCTGGAGCCGGACCTTCCGCCGGTGCCGTCCAACCTGTTTCCACTGCCGGGTGTGGTCTTCTCCAAGGCGTCGGCCGAGCAGCAGCCGCCGCCAGCGTTGCCGGCGGCGGCTGCGCGAGCCAGCTCTTGTCCCCCGAGCGCCGGCAGTCCGGCGGCGCGCGACGACTCGCGGCGCGAGGAGGGGCGCGACGAGGGCTACTCCACCATGTCGAGCGACGTGCAGGCGAATGTGTCGGCCGACTCGGGCGTGTCGACGGCCAGCACCGAGCCGCCGGCCGACCCCGAACCGGGCACGGCGCGCCGGCCGCGCTTGGAGGACGTGCGTGAGGTGCAAGAGGAGGAGGGGCGCACCTCCTGCCTGGAACAGGAGCGCCCCGCCTCGGCCAGCTCCAGCGACAGCGAGGACATGCGGTGTCTGGTGGAAGCGCTGCGCCAGTCGCTGCGGCCGGGCCGGCGCCCGGCGCTGCTGACCGACCGCCGGCTGGGACCGGACGTGCTGTACCTGCCGCTGGCCGGCCCGGCGCGTCACAGCTGCCTGGTGCCGGCGCGACCGCGGCCCGTCCACCGCTGCCGCTCCGACTCGCGGCTCTGCGTGAAGCGCTGGGCGCCCGAGCCGGCGGCGCCGCCCTGGGACGGCGGGGCGCCCGAGCGCTCCTCGTCGACGCTCGAGATCGGTGCCACCTCGACGCTGGACACGCGCCGCACGGCGTCGCTGCGGCGAGCCGCTGGCGAGGCGTGCCTGGAGCGGGCGTCGGCGGCCGGCGCGACGCCGCTGCCCTCGCCCGTCTTCGTGCCGGCGGCGCTGCCGTGGCGCGACGACTGCTCCGAGCTCTGGCGCAACTGCTTCAGCCTGGAGGCGGCCGAGCTGGAGGACTGGAGCCTGCACCTGTCCGCCGAGGAGCTGCGCTCGGAGGTCACCGATGAGACAGGCGGCAGCGAGCGGCTGGCCGACAGCAGCGACTACAGCCGGGTCGGCTCCTTCCCCAACATCCAGGAGGCCATTCTGGAGCTGGAGGAGGACGCCAGCGAGTGCCTGTGGAACAACGCCAGCTACATGTGCCAGCAGCCGGTGGCGCTGCCCGCCTGGCCGTACGGTAATGTTCCGGATCACCTGTCACTGCCGTCGCCCTCAGGCGACCCCAGGATCAGCTGGTCCAGCTCCGAACAGCTCAACTTCATTGACGTCAAGGACACGATTCTAGACTTCAACGACAAGAACGACATAAAAAGCACCGAATGTTATGGCACGTTTGAGGCGTTGAATGGCAGGCTGGACGCAAACCGCAACTCAAACGGCAGCGACGCCATGTCGTGCGTCAGCGTCGTCTCGGAGGACGAGCGGGCCGAGAGCTTAGAGACAGACTTCACCCGCGACTTTTACCGCCTCGTCAAGTACGAGAGCTCCAAGAGTCTGGCGCTGTCGGAGGCCTCGGCGAAGGGAGACGACGAGCCGGCGGCGTCCTCGGCCGACCGGGAGATGGCACTGACGTCCATGCTGAGCTTTATCACCGAGCAGCAGCGCTACATCGAGGAGCGTGAGAGTCAGGACGCGGCGCAGGCCACGGCGCACGAGCCCAATACCAGCACCGACTCGGACTCAACCTCGTGCGCCGGCATGGACCGCTCCTCCTCGTCGGCCGCGTCCGTCGTCGCCGCGCCGGTCGTGGCGGCCGCCTCGCCGGAGCCGGCGGAGCGGCCGTGCGCCGACCGGGGAGTCGTCGCCGCGTCGGTCGTGGCGGTCGCCTCGCCGGCACCGGCGGAGCGGCCGTGCGCCGACCGGGGCGTCCTCGACGCGTCGATCGAGCTGGCGAAGCTGGCGCAGCGGTGCAGCGCCGAGCGGGACACGGTGCCCGCTTCGGGGTCTGAGCCGAAGTCTGGCGATGATGTGGCGAGCGGCGCGCCCGCCGTGATTGTGTACCGCGCCGAGATCTCCACCAACCACAAGGAGTACACGCCGCCTGTGGAGGGGCCGCCACCCGCGGCGGAGGGCAAACGGGGTGGTGACCGTGGCGGCAGCGGCGCGGCTGTCAAGACCGCGCGCGAGACCGCCGACACGGCGCCGACGAACGCTTCAAGGCTGCCGAAGCCGGGCATCCCGCGCAGTCCGCTGATTGGTAAGCGGAAGCACTCTTCCACAAACAACATACCTCGTGTCCGTCCGCCCTCCTCCCCGAAAGTGTCGGCGCGGCTAAAGCGGGACGCGGTGCGGCCGGCGCCCGAGCCGGCGCCGGCCGCGCCGGCCGCGCCGCCGGCCAAGTCGGCACTGCCCTCGCCGAAGCTGCTGCGCCGCCTGCACGCGTCGCCGGCCCAGGTCGGCGGTCGCAGCATCTCCGAATCGGCCATCGTGCGCAGTCATCGGCGCGCCGAGCCAGCGCCGGCACCGACGCCGGTGCCCACGCGGCCCGACAGCCCGCAGCGGCGCGGCGGCGCGCAGTCAGCGCCGGCGCGCACGCCACCGTCGCGCGCCGCCGCCGCGCCGGCCCGGCTCGGCTCGCGCATCCCGCGTCTTCGCGGCTCGCGCTCGACCGACTCGCGCGAGGCGGCCGGCGCGCGTGCCGAGCTGGTGCGCGCCGTCAGCGAGCCGGCCGAGATCGCGGACGCGTGCCGCGCCCCGGCGAGTCCGCTGATCGTCTCCGAGGGCGACGTGACTAGCTTCCACCGGCGCGCCACCAGCCGCCAGCTGCTGGACGAGCTGAAGCGCCTGTCGGCGCGCGAGGTGCAGGAGGCGCCGCCGCCGCCCGAGCCGCGCCATCGCCGCGAGGGCTCCGACACCGGCTGGGTGCGTCTTGACCGGCCGGTGGACCTGCGCGACTTACAGGTGAGGTCGGCCGCGTGGCTTTTGCGACCCAGCAAGCCGCTGCCGCTTGCTGGGTGTGGCGTGCCAGTGCGGTCGGCGGGATTCAATTAGGCATGACGGCACAAATAAAGACGGGCTGTTCGCAATCAGGCTGAAAGTGCATCCTGTCGTGGATCTGACTTGTCGTGGACGCCGTGGAGAAAGTGCGATGCCTAAGTGATAAACCCTGCCGTCGTAGTCCTGTGCACGACACTGCCACTGGTCATGTCGGGCCACTTTTACTTTGCCAAGTTAGGCCCGGGATGTCTAGCGAGATTTGAAATCGGACGCGTTGGACCCGTCCGTACAAGGATAGCTCAGACATGACAACAGGATTTGGGCCTGGCCATCTAAATGACTGAGCTTCACAACTCATCCTGCTGTGACGTTTAAGGACTGCAGACGTGGGCGCGGGCGTGCATATTTTGTTTGTATTTGGGCCTGCAGGGACGCTAGCTGAAACTAGCCATTGACCCAAGCCGTCGATGGGGATCCGCACAAAGTTTCAATGTCATATCGACTTATAGACGCTTCCATTAATAATGCAAGTTACTATGTTGTTTTGATTTGCCATAGCGGAACTCCAGAACGATGTCTGCATGTTTTTTTTTTTAAATTCGCCAGCAGATGTACGAGTCTGCCAACGGGCCGACAGAGGCCACAGGCAGTCGGCTCCTCTCTCCCTCGCTGACTGTTCACGAGGCAGCGATGTGTGCGGGGGTGTCGCGGTGGCAGCGGGACAGATGACTGCGTACACCGGAATCCTTGCGCTTGTATCACTCTGTTGGTAGTGGCAACCCTGCTGGTTCAGCGGTTATCCCCGAAATCATCGTTTGGCCGTCTTAGAGCGCCAATATTCCCGCGCCCCCCGCCCCGATCACCCCAGCTGAAATCGCGGTGCCACGCTGGGCTGCGGGTAACGGGCCCGACCGGCCCGGCTCGAGCTGACCAACGCCCGGTCCTCGCAGGCTCGGTCGAAGATGTATGACGTCATGCTGGCGGCGCGCGACTCCTCCGATTCGTCCTCGTCGGACAGCGAGAGTGACGTCACGCCGCGGACAGCCAGCGAGTATCAGCACCTCAAGTGGGTGCACCAGGCACGCAGAAGAAAGCAAGGTGGGTGGTGGGGTTCCGATCGGAAATGTGTTTACCGTTTTGTCCTTATCCGTTCATGTAAGCAATTTTTATTGGAAATTGTAATTAAAAGCATCTATCTCTCATTTCTCCTGATTACTGTGAGAGGAAGAGTTGAGAAGTACTGTCTCTTCTCCTGTTTTCATAGCGGTTCAGTGATAATCATTATCATGTTGGTGGACCTTGGTGCTGCTGTGACATTGGTGCGGTGCTTTGTCGGCGTCAGGTTTGGTGGCGCACGACATGAGAGTTGCTAAAATCGAGTGGTCAGACAACGTCGCGAAGCGTGATGCTCGAAAACTTATGAGAGAAAAGCTGATCGTCAGTGGGGCGGGCTTTTCGTGGTGTGCGCGTGCCGACCTCCGCATACCGTTCCCGCGCATGTCGCCTCCACGAAATGGTGTGACCAATCCGCGATGTTTCCAGTCTCACGGCGAAAAGATGGAGCCATTCGCTACACCCCTGTCTTCCGTCCACCAATCATCAACCGGCCAGAGTTCTTCTTCCGCTACGGACCCCAGGAACGCGAGGCGTTGGCCAGGTTCGACTTCCTGGACCGGCTTCCGAGCTGGTCGGCCGGCGAGGGCGCGGCCGGCAGCCGGTGATGGCTGTGACTGCCGTCCTGCACGCCCCACCCACACAGCCCCCCCCCCCCCCCCCCCGCCTCAGCTCCGGAGCCGAAACGGACCGGGCCGCCACTAGTACAATAGAGGGAGAGCGCGAGAGGCGAGAGTGAACCAGCCGTACACGTGAGCACACAAATATTCACACTTTCCCGTACCTAAGCATGTTTTGATAGCAATTTAAATAACGTCGCGTCGGGGGAGTGCAGTCAGCTGGCCCAAGATGGCTGCGCCCTATGGCGCATGTACGCGTGCGAGGGAGCCGGTGCGGGCTCGAGGGACTACCTAACCCCAGCGGCCATGCTGTGTACTGTGCACGTGATGCAGTGAGTCTCGAGATTCCCGGTTTTGAAGATATGAGCCTGTAGCGAGTCAGCAATACATAATGACATGTAACGCTCGTCTTGTGTTACCGTTACCCATGCAAACAATCTGCGCGACCTCGCGATTGCAATCTGCTGTAAAGGATTGAAGACGCTGTTTGTTGGGTTTGCCATATTTCGTGCTGTCATATTAAAACTGTTGGGGCTTTAAATTAGCCGTTTACCACCAGAATCAGCAGCTGAAAAAGGCTTGAGTCTCGTCGAGGCCATGTATCAGGCCATCCGCATTAATGGTCTTACTACGCTACGCACCACAGGATATCTTAAACCGATTTGCCGCGGTTGTCGCACGCCTGGCGCACATCACCGACAAAGATAGCCTGCGGCGCTCGGCATCCGACGTGGAATAGGTCGTAATGCGTTCCGAAAAAGGTCAACTAACTCGTGAGATAATTGCACGCAGACAGCGCCCTCACCGCGCGTTTACAGCAACGCCTGGGCACGCTCTTTTCCGCACGCACGCTCACAGTAACGTTACGCCAAAACAGACAGACACACACACGCGCGCGCGCGCGCGCGAGCGTGCGTGCACGCACGCACGCACGCAGCACGCACACCGCAGCGTGAATGAAAGTCACCTACAGTTTTCTCCATAGATCTTACGGAAGAAGTTGAGACCAGGTATTAGTAGCACGTAAGAAATAAGACGAGGCATCGACATCACGGAGAAATTATGACGACGTATTAGTGTCACGGGTGGAATAATTGTTCACACGACCTTCTTCGCATGGCGTGTCACGTTGCCCATCGCCTGGCGGAGACCGCTTGCAGCTTGAAATGTGGTTTCGCCTCACTGGGGTGAACAGAAGGAAGCGAAGCGGAACAGACAGGGAGGGTAGTCAGTCACGTAGTCAGCCCAGCCATGAGTAGGCCGGTACCCGCCCCAAGAACAACTCCCGAAAACACGCCGGACAGGTGCGGGGCTGTTGGTGGTCCGCCGTCATTCACGAAAAATGCACCGCCTACTGTACTTCATTTATTTATTCAGGGCTAAGCTGTGAAAATAAAATATAGGCATAGCAGCCCCTCTGTCGTATCACACAGTTTTAAGCGCTGAACCCAAGCAGGACAGAACCGCGACATTCCCAGCACAGCTCAAGTAACAGACTGACGATATACTCGCAAAACTACAAACCGTTTACGGCTCCAACAGCAGCACCAGATACCCAGTCATAACAATATCCAAGGGCAGGCTCATGGGGATTGAAACAATGCATCAAACACACGTCCAACGCTATGTTCATAACTCTCACTACAACACAGAGAAGGCACGCATCTTCAACATGTGCGAGGCGCACCTTTTCGCACGATTCACCTAGCACTCCAAAGGACGTGACGAATGTACTGAACAGATTGCACCTGTGCGGGTGTCAACTCGTCTCAGCAGCGCCGGGGAACACCCAGCGCCACAAGGGCCATGACGGGGCGCCATCCGATACCGCACGGGCTCGAGACGCGCGCGGTCACCGCCAACACGGCGCCGGCGTCCGGCTATCACAGACGGCAGCCGAGCCGTCGCCGGAGCAGGCGACTCGGCCGGCACCGCCCGCGGCACGCCTCCGACCGCCAGGACAGCACGCCGGCGGCGGCGGCAGCGCTGGCGTCACCGAAGCGAGCGCGCCGCCCGGGCCATGCTGTGGCATGAGGGTTGCCAACGGGGGCAACGCAGCGTCAAGGGGGCAGCGACGACGGCTCCCAAGCGCGTGCGTCATCCCAGCTCTGCGCGTCTCGCGGGTCGTCACAGGGGCGACGTGCCGCCGTCCCCGGATGAATGACGTCATCGTCCCGACAGCAGTAATGAAGCCTCGTCAGCGGCAGCGCGGTCCGACCGGTGTCGTGTCCCGGCTATCCTCAAGCGGCGACAGCGCCGCCACGCCAGCGACGCGCCTACTTGATCCTGGCCAGCTGGGCCGGCTCGGCCGCCAACAGGCTGAGGATGAACGGCCCCTCCTGGCCGGGCATGTACGTGCTGGGCACGATGTTGTACGTGCCGCGTGGCACGTTCTCCAGCGCCAACACGACGAAACCAGAGCGGTACGAGCCCGAGCTCTGGCGGCGGAAGTAGCCCGGCGACTCTGGGTTGGCCTCCACGCACGTGATGTCCACACCCATCTGAGAGTGGGTGTGAGAATGGGTGAGAATGAGGCAAGATATTGTATAGGGTTCTGCGGCGAACAGCGAGAGAGGTTGGCTCCGTACTAGAACCACGGCGCTGCACACGCTACATGCACAGTACGTATTCGTGTTTGACAGCAACTGGCGCTTATGCCAATGCAATTAATTCATGACACCTTACGGTTCTGACATCGATCCTTTCGTCAACACAATTAAATGCTTTAAGATAAGTGAAAAAAATTCAGAACAACTAATAGTTGCGTTACAATATAAGCCGCACAGCCTGACCTGAAACAATAAACCAGAGCGGGTTCAACAGCCGAACCATTCCGTCATTTCTTTATCCATCAGCTGGGCGCGAACAGACCATTTGGGCAGCGCGACTAAGCGTCCGTCGGGCCCGGCCGCGCGAGCGTACCTGGTAAACGCGCGGCCCCTTCAGCTGGAGCGTGAGGCTGGCCGCGGCCGGCAGGCGCAGCTGGTACACCGGGTTGTTGGGGTAGGTGTGTGGGTGGTTGGTGCAGCCGCCGGCAGTCACGCCCCGCCACTCGCCCGTCACCTGGGGCGGCGCCGTCATCCGTCACCCGTCACTCGTCACGCAAGACGCCCACACAACGCGCCGACAGCCGCACGCCTGACGAGACAAGCGGAGAGACAACCACGCCACCCCACTGCGGTGACCCGAGGTCCGCAGACTTCTCGCCTTAGCCTTCTCACCAGTATTGTGGAGCATCTTGATACCGCTATGTGGCGCACTAACACGGCCAGTCTGACCCCGTCGCCAGCCGTGACTTGGACGAAACCACGAGCGTCACGTCAGCTTTGTATCAATCTTTTTTGCGCGGTCTTGTTGCACCTTCTGCCATCGTGCGAACGGCGGTAGACCGACGCTTTACCAACCGAACTCCGGGGACAGCACCGTTCTTTGCACCAAGTTGATTCTTACCAACACAATCATCGTGCACGAGGTCGAACATGTAAGGCTGATACGGTGCAAAGGAGGTGAATTGATGCCATTTATCAACCAGCAACACCCACAAAACATGTCTACATTGCTACGAAAAGTTCGCCTCTTACCGAATGCTGGGTGGGTAGGTACGGGACCCTCTTCAAGGAGAAGGCGCTGGCGCTGTATGCCCGCAGCGTGTAGTGGATGGTGTTGAGCTTCTCGTACTGCGCGATGACGAAGGTGAAGGTGTACATGCTGGCCTCCTTCAGCGTCAGCTTGCAGAGGTAGTGCGGCGAGTTGATGCGCACGCCCTCCATGTACGGCTCGGGCTCGTCTGCAGCGTCAGGTGGGCGTCGTCACGCCGGACGGTGCCGGCGCCGGCGGCGGCGGACCCGCGGTCGCCCGGCCCGACGCTGCGCGGCCGCCGCGCAGCGCCACAAAACATCAAAAGATGCCCACCAGAATGCACTGCTCGATCACCATACCACCTCGATTTTCCAATGCCGCAGGAACCTCGAGTGTCCTGTCGACCCCGTTCAGCGGCGGCGCGACGCCTGTTGCTCCGCCTCGGCCCGACTCGATCACGGGGTCCGACCCTGTCCGAATCAACTCACTGGGGTAGAAGACTCTGCGGCCGTCGGTGCGGTAGACGGCCACGGTAATGTACTCCTTGTTGTTGCGGAAGTCCTCGATCTCGGTGATGTGGCGGCTCAGCAGCACCCAGACCACGGTGGGGCCGCGCACCTGGCCACACACAGTCAGGTCAGTACGGGTCACGGCCGGGCCAGTGTGGGGTCGCAAACAGGACAGTGTGAGGTCACACAGGTCAGTGTGGGGTCATATTCAGGTCAATGTGGGGTCAGACAGATCAGTGTGGGGTCACAGTCAGGTCAGAGTAAGGTCACAGGTTAGTGTGGTGTCAGACAAGCCAGTATGGGGTCACAGACAGGTCAGTGTGGGTCACATACAGGTCAATGTGGGGTCAGACAGATCAGTGTGGGGCCACACAGGTCAGAGTGGGGGTCTATCAAAGGTCTATGTGGGGTCAAGTACAGACCAGTATGGGGTCACATTAGTCAGTGTGAGGTCACACACAGGTCAGTGTAGGGTCACATACACATCAGTGCAGAGTCAGACATCAGTGTGGGGTCGCAGATGGGTCAGAGTGAGGTCGCATACAGATCGGAGTGGTGTCCATCACAGGTCAGTATGGGGTCACAGGTCAAGGTGAGGTTAAAAAAGACAAACAAGACTGCATGGGTCGTTTTAAACGATGTCACGCATTAGACGCGACATAGATATTAGGCGTTCCAACATTTATTTCGTTGATCAGTTGCTGCAACTGGGAATAGTTACTGTGCGCACGCAACCACAGTGTGATTTTGCGATGGCACAGCTCCAGATAAGCACAAATCTGACAAGATGTGATGATCGTCCGACATATACGGCCACCTAAGCGGCAGCGACAGACGAGTCCTGGACGCCAGCTCACCTCCAGACGGTACTGCGGGTTTTCTCCGATGTTGTACATGTCCCGGATGGGTCCGAGGCCGGCCAGCCACGTCCTGCAAAGCCACATGCCTCCAGTGACTGCGACGCCGCCGCGCTTATCGGTACCAAGTACGGACTCGGGACCGCCCAGGACTGCCAATACGCGCCGCTGGCCGTACAACGAACCAGTAAGGCAGGCACGGGGGGGGGGGGGGGGTATACACACCACTTCTAGTAGGCGTAGCAGCTGGCGCGAGCTGCTGACCGCGGCCCCCCCCCCCCCCCCCCCCGGCACCCAGGGCCAAGGCAGCAGGCGCGTGCCAGGCGACTGATCAAGGGGAGGCCAGGAGGCGTCCCGCCGTCCTCCGGCAACACCCTCTCACTCACTGGTGGTGGGCGAACGTGTGCGAGAACACCTGAGGGTTCCAGCTCATGTAGAACACGTCGAAGAAGCGCACGAGACTCTCGTAGTCGATCCAGAACACGCCGTTGTCGAACTGCTGCGCCGACTGCGGGTCGTAGCTGAGCGCTTGGCGCAGCGCCGGTGTCCAGTGGCGCTGGTCCATCTCCGAGTAGTTGCCCTTCCAGCGCAGGTGCGACCACGGGTTCTTCAGCAGCAGCAGCCGCTTGCCCTGCCGGCGTCGGAGTGCTACTGCTGGTGGGTCGGGTCAGCGCAGCGGCGCGCCACCGTGCCGACGCCCAGTGAGACCGACGCTTGTCAGAAGCGTTCAGAACCTGAACTGCCCCGCCGTGTGCCGCCGTCAGAGACTGAACTCTAGTGGAAACGCACGGCAAGCATCGGCGGAACTTATTGGAGACTTTTTAAGGCGTACAACAAAACGAAACTTAAATACGCACAACTAGCAAACGGGCCTTGATCATTCGGCAATGGCCAGTGCTTTGATAAATACTTCACATAAAGGAAGGATAATCTTGACATGCTCTTTTGCAGATGCAGTGCGGGGTCCGATTAGCTGTAATGGGCCTAACACTGAGGAGGACAGAATACCAACTGACGAATGAAACGCGGATATTACGGGATAGCAAACACCCCACGCGGCGCGTTTCGACAACACATATCGCGATGGCAGACGGTGTGCGCTTCGGCAAGCGGCGGCCGACACGTGAGCACGCCGCGCTCCACAGGCGCGGTGACCCCGACTGACCTGGACCTCGCGCACGTCGAGCACGGCGTAGGCGTGCGTGGGCACGAGGCCGGCCCGCTCGGCCTTCTCCTCCGGCAGGTCCCCTGTCGCCACCGTGATCAGCACCTGCCGGGCGGTACGTTCTGCGTCCAGCCGCCTGCCACGCCCGAACACGCGACGCGCCGACCTCATCGACGCAGGGCCCGCCGCTGGCTACACCACGTACTGGACTACGAACTCACTTCCACGAGACCGCCACAGGACAGCGACGACAGCCGTAGGGCTGCGTGCGCTTCAAAACCTCTCCTGCAGTTGGCGATCAGCGACCATGCCGTATGTCGGCGCGGCTTGGGGCTACAGCGGCACGTCCCCGCTTACCGTCCCGGACCCTGACTCCCCGACCACGGCGCGCGGGCCAGCGCGGCTGAGCCTCGAGGCCGCGGCGCCCCCGCCGGCCTGCTGACCTGGCCGCGCTGGTGACAGTCGTGCAGCCGCCGGAACACGGCGTCCTCGTCAAACTCGGCCTCGCCTGGCCGGATAGCCTGCCGCTCTGGGATCCAGCCCGTCAGCGCGTACAGGTCGATGTTCTGCCGGCGGGACGAGGTCAGGTCAGGTCAGGTCAGGTCAGGTCAGGTCGGCCGGCGCACCGTCAGCGGCCGTTCGGGAGTCACTGGGCGGGCAAGGCAGGTCAGGTCACAGGCCGACCGGCGCCAAACGCGAGGCAGCAGCAGGCGCTCCCGCATGACTAGCTCTGCCGGCGCGGCTAAACAACCGACCATGTCAAAACCTTCGCCTATCAACTTAATGAACAGCATTCGCGGATGCTTTACGTAGCGCATTATTACCAGAGCACGTGATTCAATAAAAGCAGCCTTCACAAGACCCTCTGGCAAACAGCGCCACCAGCGCGGCCGTGCCCAGCACCTGGCAAGCCGCTCCAGCCGCTCCAAAAATGACACCGGAACACGCCGCAGCCAATCCGCAGCGCCGCCACGAGCACCGGCACGACATCCACTCCCGGTCTGTCCCATAGCGAGACGGCTACTGCCGGCAGTCACTCAGGCACAGTCCGCCGGCACTACTCACGCTGTTGGAGCCGGGAAAGTCGTAGCCGCCCATGACCTTCATGTAGGCCTTCTCGAGCAGCGAGACCCAGAGCTCGCGCCGGTCGGCCGAGTACGAGCAGAGCAGGCGGCCGTGGCGGTCCACTGGCAGCGTGTCGTCAATCACCACCTTGCGCGGCACGCCGTTGATGTGCAGCCGTACCATGTACTTGCCGCACGGGTTATACACCTGGCGGCGGTCCGGCGGCGCGTCAGGCGGGCCGCCGCCGCTGGAGCTGGGGCTGGCCGGTACGCGGGCCCGCACCGCCGCAGCTGGAGCTGGCCGGTACGTGGGCCCACAGCACCACCGTCGACCCGTCATCGAAACGTACACCCGTATATCATAGATGTTTAGTATTTCTCATTGGATGCGTGCACGCAAACGCCCTACTATTACGTAAGTTGTTAAGTGCATTTGCTAGGAACATATTGCATATACATAAGACAGAGGCAATAGCCTTATTCCACGTTAAAAAAAAAAAACAGAGTGGAGATATAGATGCGTTGATATTTCGGCAACATGTCTCAACATGTCATCTCCATTCTCCTGGTTTTTCTGCGATGAACAAGGCCATTACTGCTGTCTTATCTAAACGCATTGCTAGTTCGCCATCCCGCGGGTGTCACGGCTGTCCCGGCCCCTCACCAATATGCACCAGCACGACCACACTGTGCTCAGAGTCCGCCACTGATGATTTACACACTTGCCCATGCACCCATTTTGTATATGCATTTACCCAAATTTGTAGATTTACCCAGAGTCCGACTGTACTGCTGGCACCCAGCATATGATATACACATAGCCGTCACATACCTACAGCCCCAGTCCGCCCTGCTGCCACCCCGCACAACGTACACCCGTGTGGCGACGCCCCTAGCCTGAGTACTGACGACTAACCGGCTGCCTGCTCCTGTTCTGAGGGTAGATGATGCTGGTGATTAGGGGCTTCTTGAAGCGCTTCTCGTAAAGCGCGCTGACGGCCAGCGATGCCACAAACGAACAGTCCGAAATGCACGTCTGCTTGATACTAAAGCAGTCCACCCGCTGTAGCAAGGACGGACGGTGGGTCACTGGTACAAGCCGCGGCACGGAGTCATTGCCATAGTCCCGGTAGTGGGTCACTCACTTCACAGCGCCCAAACACGGGTCACTGACCCAGCGCCGCGCAACAAGTGCCTGAGGCTCAGGGCCGCACAGTGAGCCACTGATACATCGCATGCAAGGAGTCGCCCATGCACTGCCCAGGAGCGAGTCAACGGCCCAGAGCACGGCAGCGCGCATCTAGCGCGACGAGCAGTCGCGACAGCGAGCCCGCATCTGTCCGGGACAGTACCTGAATCACGCAGGGCTGCCGCGGGACCGTACCTGTATCACGCAGGGCTGCCGCGGGACCGTACCTGTATCACGCAGGGCTGCCGCGGGACCGTACCTGTATCACGCAGGGCTGCCGCGGGACCGTACCTGTATCACGCAGGGCTGCCGCGGGACCGTACCTGTATCACGCAGGGCTGCCGCGGGACCGTACCTGTATCACGCAGGGCTGCCGCGGGACCGTACCTGTATCCAGACCTAGACCGTACCTGTATCACGCAGGGCTGCCGCGGGACCGTACCTGTATCATGCAGGGCTGCCGCGGGGCCGTACCTGCATCCAGCCCTAGACCGTACCTGTATCACGCAGGGCTGCCGCGGGACCGTACCTGTATAATGCAGGGCTGCCGCGGGGCCGTACCTGCATCCAGCCCTAGACCGTACCTGTATCACGCAGGGCTGCCGCGGGACCGTACCTGTACCCTGCAGGGCTGCCGCGGGACCGTACCTGTATCCTGCAGGGCTGCCGCGGGACCGTACCTGTATCATGCAGGGCTGCCGCCGGACCGCACCTGTATCACGCAGGGCTGCCGCGGGACCGTACCTGTATCCTGCAGGGCTGCCGAGGGACCCTACCTGTATCATGCAGGGCTGCTCGGAGAGCTCGTCGGGCCGCGCCCAGCGGTGGAACTCGCGCCGCTGCTTGGGCGAGAGCGCCAGCGGGCCGGCCCGGTCGGTGAACGGCAGCGGCGAGGCGAATCGTTCGCGCAGGTCGGCCGCGATGAACGGCACGAACACGTGGTCGTTGATGCGCGAGGTGGCGGCGAGCACGCGCAGCTCGTCCCGACTGTAGGCCTCCGAGCCGCTCACCTGCAGGGCGCCACTGAAGCCGCGGTGCAGCGGCGGCCGGCCTGCGCACACCGGCCGGCCGCCAGGTCAGGTCAGGTCAGGGCAGGACGAACAGTGTCCGACCTGAGGTCCACAGCCCAGGTCAGGTTACGTCTCGGACACCGCTGTGGACTGAACGGACGTCCTGCCACCAGCGAGCTCTCCTGAACAGCACAGACAGTAGCTGCCCATAACCTACCTGCACGCGTGGGCCGAGCGGCTGGCACCGGACCAGCTCCACTCTGCCGCCGGTCCGGCTCCGGCGGTGGCGCGGACGGCTCCAGCGGCTCCTCGTCCAGGTCGGGCAGGTCGGTGGGCGGAGCGGGAGCCATGTCCAGGTCCGGTCCCAGGGAGGCCTTAAGCCGCTCCGCCCGCTCCAGTGCCTGCTCCGCCGCCTCCGTGAACTTGGTGTTCGGGAAGGTCTTGTTCTGCGGGAAGCGGGCCGCGTGCTGGGGGAGGCTCTTGGTATCCTTCGCTTCTAGCGGTCACAACACTTGTGGACGCAATGGAACCGTGCAAGACCTGCGATGACATCTGATTCGAAACGACGCATAATAGGCCAAAATGACCAGCGCAACGTGGGTCTACACCACAAACCTCCAAGCGTAAAAACACCAGCACTAACGGCGCTAATGTTTTTACGCACCGCAACAACATCTACATCGCCCTTTTCAAGGACCAAAGAAAACAAGCAGCCATTGACAAGGTCATCCGCTGAGACGCATCTCCTTATTACGCTGACAGCAGCGAACCGTTCACTATCACGTGCCGACACTCGAGCCCCCAGACAAAAGCACTCAACTGAGTCCTGAATCCCTGACCCCTGACTATGAGTCCGACTCACGGCACTAATGCAGAGCTCCACCGCCTGACCGTACAAATCGACGGCCTCGCGCGTGTTGCCGGCCTCGTCTTCGTCGAGCGCCTGCGACATCAGGAAGTAGACCCTCTCCATCTCTGCCCGGCCGCCGGCCGGCGCCGTCGGCGTCGGCACCGCCCGATTGGCTGCCGGCGAGCGAACGAGCAGCGATAAGTGGACGCGCCAGACGCAACGCCGCGGGCAGGACTGGCGGACGGACGCCATGGCGCGGGCAGGACCGGCGGACAGACGCTATGGCGCCCTAGACGCCGGCGTTTCTTCGCGGTACCTCGCTATGAAAATGCTGGATTGTGCTGAATTTTGCTCATTCAGAAAATATCTCCCTATCCGCTTTTTCCGATATTTGTTCCTGCTTCCGACGGGACCTGGCACATAATATTCATTCCAAAGCTGCGGTGTGGTTTGGGATGGTGAGCTGTAGCTTGTCTTATATTTGAATTGACTGAAAACTAGTGAATCTGCGAGCTATTTATAATTCGCACCACCCAAACTTTAAGTTATACGATGTGGCCCTGTAAAATATATATTTCGCAACCCTAGACCGCGGGACAGGAAAATATCAATACTGGCCCGCCCCATCTGCCCAAGCCACCCCAGAGTTGTCCCATCTGTCTGGCCCACCCCAGAGAGTTTCAGCCGTGACAGCACCGGGCCTGTCCCATCTGCTTGGTCCACCCCAGAGTTTGAGCCGTGACAGCACCGCGCCTGCCCCATCTGCCCGGGCCACCCCAGAGAGTTTCAGCCGTGACAGCATCCGGCCTGCCCCAGCTGCCCAGTCCACCCCAGAGTATGAGCCGTGACAGCACCGGGCCTGTCCCATCTGTCTGGCCCGCACCAGAAAGTTTCAGCCGTGACAGCACCGGGCCTGCCCCATCTGCCTGGGCCACCCCATAGTTTGAGCTGTGACAGCACCGGGCCTGCCCCATCTTCCCGGGCCACCTCAGAGTTTGAGCTGTGACAACAACAGGCCTGCCCCATCTGCCCGGGCCACCCCAGAGTTTGAGCTGTGACAGCACCGGGCCTGCCCCTTCTGCCTGGTCTACCCCGGAGTTTGAGCAGTGACAGCAATGGGCGTGCCCCATCTACCCATGCAGTGTCGTCTGCAGCGTGCATCAGTGCCAGATGACCCATATCAGTACCAGTTTCTGTGAGCTGCTCAGCTCTGGATAGGTAGTCGTTGGCACGCTTCTCCAGGTGTGGGATGTCCGAGCCACCACGGCGTGCCTCCAACAGCGCACCCGCCGCCTGCACGTAGTGGTACACAGCTGCCTCATGGTGGCCACTCTGGTCAAATGCCACTGCCCGGCCAGCCAGCTGAGCAGCCTGCTCAAACAGCCCACTGGCATCATTGGTGCTGTCTGTGGCCGCCATGGTGATGCTGAGGTCTGCCTGCCTGTAAGCATACCAAGGTTAAAGTGAGTCTTTCACCGCAGTAACTGCAGAGGAGTGGACACTAGACATACCACAATTTCTGTAGTGCACTAGTATGGAATATACTGCTCTTGTCAGATGGTGGACATGAGCAGAATTTTAGAACAGAGTAATTTGTAGAGAAGACACATCATTTGGTTGGGCTGCACAATGCCACAAATGGGTGAGGAATGCTTATTTTATGTATCTGCTGCATGAAAAGGAAACTATTTGTGCATTAGTTTTCCTACACCTAAAACCGTGAAATACTGCCTTGTGTGAGATAATGACACTCTTCTATATCCTACACTTAATGCCATCTATATCTACATGCGTGCACATATATGTTCTCATGAGCATGGACCTACTATAGTTTGCAGTACAACAGAGGCTAGGGAACATATGGGCAAGCTAGAATCAGGGACATCAAAGTTGTCAACAATACATGGCAGAAGTGCATATAAAAGACTGACATTTCTTACAGCTTTAGCTCCACTACACAGACCAAAACATTGCACTGAAAAAGCCCTGCCTATTATACATGCAGCATGTGATGCTGTACTTCATTACTGACAGCAATGACTATCTTCTCCATTGATTGCAATAACACATCATGAAATATAACTAACATCTTGTCACAATTCAGCTTATTTCCATAACATCTGGGCGCATGCACCTCCCACCACACACCTACCGACGTCGGAATTAGCACTGGTACGACGGGAAGAAAATCATAATGCTAACACGGCCTGCTTTGTATGCACGCCGTCCAACATTGAAATCACACATCCTCCTGCATTCCCCGTCCACACGTTAACCAGATATCATCATGTGAGGCCGGAAACCTAAGAAAACTACTCGCAGACCGCAATACGGCGCACCAGTATACAAAACAACGCCCCTTCAGCGCCTCAGCATTTTTGGTGTTTAAAAGCGGGTTTATGATATTTGTTGACGTCATTTTTAATCTGGACAACTTTATCTTAAAAATAGAAATATCCACGACTAATAATTAGCTTTTGAATGGCCATCTTAGGCACATGAATGTTTACGTGACAAATATGAAGACATTAGAAAATAAAACAACTTGCATTAATTGCTGAGAAATCGTCAGATATATTAGTATAAGCAAACAGGCTCGGTTTACAAGTCGAGCGGGCGCGTAAGCCTTAGGACATACGCGGACCATAAGTGATTCACGTTCAGGGCTGGCGTGCGAGGGTTTGAAATTACTTAAGCTGTTTGTTGAAATCTTGTGTATTTTTGTGTTTCCGGTATATGCTGAGGTTTTTAATGGGCGGCTAACGTTCAGTCCAAGGCTGGGGTGTACGTAAACCAGACACCTACGTAGGTAAGTATGTCTGACGCCTGACGGTTGCACCAAGGACGCGTAAGGGTACCTCGGAGGGGAGGGGCGAAATTTGGAAACAGTGACGATATGGATATTGAAAGTTATTGGTGGCTCTGAAGAGCCCATCAGGTATTAACTATCTGCTGGCGTCCACTATCTACTAGGATACCTAATGTTTACGATACTTATCAATGTATCTATCTGACCAGGGGCCCAGGCTGTGAAAAGGTGCATGCCACGCATGTGTGTAGAAATAGATGATTTTGCAGAAGTGACCTTTTCTATTTGAAGCAGTGGACCATGTTGATATAAACACGTGTTCATCATGAATAACCTGGCAAATTTTATATGATCTAGACTACCTCTGCGGTGATGTGATGCCATTTTTATTATACAGCAATATGAAGTGTAGTATTAATTGCTAATTGTCCAAGATGTGACCATATGAGGGCACCATCTCCCTATCTGTAACAGTGGCTGGCTGCTGACTTACATGCTTGCTGTACCTCTTCTCCAGAGTTCCAGAGTCTCAAGCATGCAGCCAGGGGCAGTACTTCAGGCAGCTGGTCTGCTGCTGTGGGCTGCATGGCCTGGCTGTGAAAGTCAAGCCATCTCTGATGTGGATAGGATCAGTGACACTTATGAAGATATCAGGATCAACCGTGAACCGTGAGTGGTCCTGGATGAGCTGGGTCACAGGAGGGCAGTTTGATTAACCAGCTGATTGAATGCAGTGATCATGTCTTAGCCACAGCTGCTATGAGTGATGGGAAACATGACAACAAATTTTTGTTACTGTTTGCTACCAACCAACTTCATAGGTGGCTCCATGTCAATCATGGTATGCAGCATGAGACTTGGCAGTCTGCTGACTTGTGCCAATATGGCCACTATTTCCTGATCGCTCTGTTGATCGGAAGGCCTACCTGCTTCAGAATCGCCCTTCCCCCCATGGGAGGCAGGGTGGGTTTGAATCACTAGGTGCTGGCTATCTGTCATTAACAGGTAATGCCTACAGTCATTGGTAGAGGTCACAACAAAGGTCAGGTGATGTCAGAGGGCAGAATAGACAGTGCCCAGCTTTGCAGCAAGTTAAATGATTGCCACATAATTTTGCTGTTTTTATGGAATTGCAATTTCAGATGGTTGGAGTGAGGGCTTGCACAACGAACTCTGCCAAGCATGAACTGTGCTCATATATATATATATATATATATATATATATATATATATAATATATACTATATATATATAATACATATATATATTATACATATATATATACATCTCTCTCTCGCTTCTCTCGCTCTCGCTCTCATCTCGCTATCGCTCTCGCTCTCGCTCTCGCTCTCGCTCTCGCTCTCGCTCTCCTCGCTCTCGCTCTCGCTCTCGCTCTTCGCTCTCGCTCTCCTCGCTTCTCGCTCTCGCTCTCGCTCTCGCTCTCAGCTCTCGCTCTCTATCGCTCTCGCTCCTCGCTCTCGCATCTCGCTCTCGCTCTCGATCATCCGCTCCGCTCTCGCTCCGCTCTCGCTCTCGCTCCGCTCTCGCTCTCGCTCTCGCTCTCGGCTCTCGCTCTCGCTCTCGCTCTCGCTCTCGCTCTCGCTCTCGCTCTCGCTCTCGCTCTCGCTCTCGCGCTTCGCTCTCGCTCTCGCTCATCGCTCTCTACCGCGCTCTCTCTCTCGCTCTCGCTCTCGCTCTCGCTCTCCTCGGCTCTCCTCTCTCCGCTCACTCTCCGCTCTCGCTCTCGCTCTCTCGCTCTCGCTTCCTCCTCTCGCTCTCGCTCCCCTCTCGCTCTCGCTCCTCGCTCTCGCTCTCGCTCTCCGCTCCTCTCGCTCTCAGCTCGCTCTCACCTCGCTCCTCTCTCGCTCTCTCTCTCTCCGCTCTCGCTCTCGCTCTCTCTCGCTCTCGCTCTCTCCCTCGCTCTCACTCTCCGCTCTCCTCTCTCTCTCGTCCCTCTCGCTCCTCGCTCTCTCTCTCTCCTCTCTCTCTCTCTCCTCTCTATCTCTCTCTCTCTCTCTCCTCCTTCTCTCTCTCTCCTCCTCTCTCTCCTCTCTCTCTCCTCTCTCTCTCTCTCTCTCTCTCTCTCTTCACAGAGGCTGAGATCATCTCCTTTGAAAAATGTAACAAAGTCTGTTTGCATTTTGTGTCTCATTATGGTAGGTAGTTATCCACAATGAAAGATGTCTGACCATGTGCTTTCTACCCTTGAAAGGCCATGGCATCGCATTGCCAAGCTCATGTGCACATCGACGTAGACACATAACGACGGGAGCTGTTCAGCAGTGACTGTCCGCCCCCTAATCCCGGCGGTGCGGCGCGGCGCCGGCCCTGGCTGACCTCGGTGTGCCGGCAGCACGTACCTGGTGCTGGCGCCGAACGTGGTGCGGCCCGGCACTGTGTACCGCGTCATGGTGGACATCCTGCGCGCCCGCTCCGCGGTCGACACGCGCGCCTCGCTGCTGCGCGACGGCGTGCAGATCAGCAGCGCCACCGCCCGCCTCCAGCAGGGCTACCCGGACACGCTGCTGCTCAAGGTGAGTCACGACCGACACCGCCACCCGCCTCCAGCAGGACTACCTGGACACGCTACTGCTCGAGGTGGGTCAGGGTCACCACCGCTACCCGCCCCCAGTAGGGCTACCCGGACACGCCGCTGCTCAAGGTGAGTCACGACCGACACCGCCGCCCGCCTCCAGTTGGGCTACTCAGACACGCTGAGGCTCAAGGTGGGTCAGGGCAAACACCACTACCCGCCTCCAGCAGGGCTACCTGGACACGCTGCTGCTCAAGGTGCGTCAGGGCCGACACCGCCGCCCGCCTCCAGCAGGACTATCTGGACGCGCTGTTGCTCAAAGTTGGCGATATGTAGGGCCTGCAGGATGGCCCCGGACAATCGCATGCCTTGACCCCAACTTAAGTACTAAATATTGGAGGTGCCGTGGACAGAAAGTACAACAAAAAAAAACGGTCGAACGATAAGTCCCGCAGCATATTTTTTACAAGTATTTTCAGCTGGCTTGTGGTTCCAAGATGCGCTTTTGGTGTGATTGGAAGCATGCTCGAGGCATGGTAGCGCTATATATATTCATATGTGAGACATGTGCGGTTGTTCGTTTGTTGTCAGGTACCCACCACCAGTGTGGTGGGCAACTACCAGCTGCGCGTGGAGGGCAACCACCCGGGCTCGGTGGGTGGCACGCTGTTCGTCAACGAGACGCGCGTCCACTTCTCGGCCCGCTTCCTCACCATACTCATCCAGACCAGCCGGCCCGTGTACAACGGAGACCAGAGAGGTACGACCCTGGGGGGTAGGGCGTCACAGGTCATGAGGCCATGACAAGGGAGGCTCTTGGATGGAGGGCTTCGTCGCCACCCAGACTGCAGGGCCTCGTCCACGTCCTCCCCATTTCGTGCAAGAGGAGGGGGATGTCTGTCCACGCGACACGCCCACGAGGGCGGCAGCCATCCAAACGCAATCTGTAATCGTGTTCATGCCATAGCTCTGCTATAGCGGGAGGTCTGGTGTCACCGCAGGCTACTGATTCACACCCACTCTCCTTGCTGCCATGCCTGGTGCCAACCGTGCCATATCGCCTCCTCCACCACACGTGACGTCGATGCTCCACGTCGGTGTGAGCCGCCGTGTCGGGCGCGCGCGGAGAGCGCTGCGTTGTCTCGTGCGGTCGACACTAGCCGCCACTGACCCCGCGCGGCCCGCTGACGCGTCCCTCTGCGCGGCAGCCTGTTTCCGGGTCATCCTGCTGACGCACCGCCTCCGACCGTTCGACGACCCAGTGGACATCTTCGTGCTGGTGAGGAGCGTGACCCCGGAGCGGGTCGAGCCGTCCGATGAGCTCGACGCCGACGTCACTGTTCGCCGCGCGACTATGCT